ATAGATAGATAGATAGATAGATAGATAGATAGATAGATAGATAGATAGATAGATAGATAGATAGATAGATTAAAGCAGTTTATAGATAGATAGATAGATAGATAGATAGATAGATAGATCGATAGATAGATAGATAGATAGATAGATAGATAGATAGATAGATAGATAGATAGATAGATAGATAGATAGATTAAAGCAGTTTATAGATAGATAGATAGATAGATAGATAGATAGATAGATAGATAGATAGATAGATAGATAGATAGATAGATAGATAGATAGATAGATAGATTAAAACAGTTTATAGATAGATAGATAGATAGATAGATAGATAGATAGATAGATAGATAGATAGATAGATAGATAGATAGATAGATAGATAGATAGATAGATAGATAGATAGATAGATAGATAGATAGATTAAAACAGTTTATAGATAGATAGATAGATAGATAGATAGATAGATAGATAGATAGATAGATAGATAGATAGATAGATAGATAGATAGATAGATAGATAGATAGATAGATAGATTCAAGCAGTTTATAGATAGATAGATAGATAGATAGATAGATAGATAGATAGATAGATAGATAGATAGATAGATAGATAGATAGATAGATAGATAGATAGATAGATAGATAGATAGATAGATAGATAGATAGATAGATAAAAGCAGTTTGAAAAAGGATAGATAGTTTTGAGGTCACAAAGTTAGATCTATTGTTAAGTCAATGACAGTCTTTTGCAGTAAAAGTCTATGGGACAGTTGTTGCTAGGGTGCAGTATCTGGTAGTTAGGGTGTGGCTAGAAAGTTAAAAGCCCATCAGTTATTGGCAGTTAGGTAGTCTGAGTTAAATGAGCTCAGTCATTAGTCAGTATGACAGTGTGATGCAGAGTTATGAGCTCACAAAGTTTGATCCCATGTTAAGTCAATGAGAGTCTTTTGAATGGAAGTCTATGGGACAGTTTCTAGGGTCCAAAAGTGGTTGCTAGGGCGTGGCCAGAAAGTTAAAAGCTCATCAGTTATTGGCAGTTAGGTAGTCTGAGTTAAATGAGCCCAGTTAGAAGTCTGTGTGACAGTCTGATGCAGAGTTATGAGCTCACAAAGTTTAGTCCAATGTTAAGTCTATGGGATTTTTCCGACGGTCCCGGGACGTTTTTCGGAAAATCGAAAGTCGGATCAGTCGGAAAAGATATGGCATACCGAGTCAGAATAGTTTGGAGGTCTGGTGTGAGTTTGGTGGTCATAGCTCGAAAGCTCTAGGAGGAGATAGATTTTGAATTTTAGTCTCAGAAGAAGAAGAAGAATAATATATAAAAAAAATAATAAGTTTAAATAGGATTTCAGTAGTCTGGCTTGTTTCTCAAGCCAGCCTAATAATAAGTTTAAATAGTAGAACAGTAGTCTGGCTTTGACAAGCCAGCCTAATAAGTTTAAATAGCATTTCAGTAGTCTGGCTTTGACAAGCCAGCCTAATTAACTAGATCAGGTGTGTCTAATTGAAGTTGGAACTACACTTTGCAGGACACTGGCCCTCCAGGATCAAGTTTGTGCAGTCCTGCTATAAGACCACAGCTTATATCCTAAATAGGGGTCACCAAACTTAATTTAGTGTCCTGCAGAGTTTAGTTGCAACTTGCCTTAACATACCCTGATGGATGTTTCTAGAAAGCCTAGTAAGAGCTTGATTAGCGAGCCCAGGTGTGTATAATTAGGGTTGAAATAATGCTGCGGTCACTTTAGAGTTTGAGCATGTGATATTCTGTTGTGCGGCGCTCCGAAAATGGGCGGGATTAAACAAGCTTATTAGACATTTTTAAAAGCGAGCGATTGCTCCATGTTTTAAATCTCTGTCCAGTAGGGATGGGAAGATTAATCGATATGTATCGATACGCGGTCATGCGCGTGCACGATGCGAGTGCATTGGTTGAGCAGCAGAGGATGAATGAAATTTTGGAAGCAAATCGAGATGCATCGGTTTTTGCGAGATGCATCGGTTTTTCCAAGATACAGCTTATATTTTTAATATAGAATGTATTTTTTATTTATTAACAAGTGTTGTCAACCTGTTTTTGGCGCATAATTTAATCGACCTACATAAAGTAAGCCTAACGGATTTGCGGATGTGTACACTTACACTACAACTGTATCAGGTGTGCGGATGAAGTGAGTGGAGCGCCCTCAGAAAGTGCGAGAAGCAAAACAAATTTTATTCCCCACTTAGTTTTAAATCTAAAGTATGGCAACATTATGGATTTAAGGATGGACGACATGACAGGACAGATGCAATTTGCAAAAATGTGCCGCGCATCTGTAAAATACGCGGGCAGTACGACTAATCTGAAATCTCACTTGAAGCGGCGCCACGGTGTTGTTGTGAAAGCTCCATCTTCCAGTGGACCTCTATTCTGCCGCCCTATGCGCGGATATAACTGACGACGCGGGTGTCGCGGACCTCTATTCTGCCACCCTATGCGCGGATATAACTGAGGACAAGCGGGCGCTGATGGAGGTGTCGCGGACATAACTGAGGATGCGGGTGGTAAGGGGGGGTGTTGCGGACGCCGCCCTCTCTATACTGCCGCCCTAGGCGGCCGCCTAGGTCGCCTCTATGGACGCGCCGGCCCTGTTCATCTGCAAAGATATTCAGCCTAGTGTCACGGAGAACGAAGGTTTTGAACACCTCCTTCTGTTAATTTTTATTTAATTACAATAATAATAATATTAATAATAATAATGATAAAAATAATGGGTGTCACGGTGGCACAGTGGGTAGTTTGACCACCTCACAGCAAGAAGATTGCTGGTTTGTTATATTTTTATTAGCCTGTTGTTTACAGTGACAGTGATGTTTCAAAGCAGCATAACACTGCTAGTTCACGACCTTAAGTTTTGAATAATCAGTGGCAAAATATATCTTTGTAAAACTTGTTTTCATAGTTAAAAAGTTAAATCACAATTCTTGTTGTGCAATGGTAAACCTTTATGTTGAAAGAGTGCAAATATATATATTTTAATATATATTGCACTTATACATTCTGTTTATCTTGAAAATACTTAAATAATATGTGCTATATGTTCTAAAATGGCCCTCTACTGTAAACTGACACTCTGGCTCTGAGAGAAAAGCCAGTTTGTAAAAAAAAGTCTTGGTTTTACTTGGTTAATAAATAATGAAACTCATTCAATGGCACAACATCCTCTTTCACATAATCTCATAAACTTGATCTAATTAGTTAGTGCTGAATTATCGCATTGTATCATGATATGGGTGTGAATCGTATCGTGTTGCATCGCAAAATGTCACAAATGTATCGCTATTATATCGGATCGTATTCTTTGTATCGAGATGCGTATCGGATCGGCATTATAGCTTAGATGCCCAACCCTACTGTCCAGAGATGTCATGTTTTGATCCTCGATTGGTCTCACGCAGTCGAGTGATGCGATTTCGCAGGTTAGAGTTCACCAAGCTTGATCTTTGCACCAAAGCAACCTGTGAAACTCGACGCATGACCCTGCTTTTCCGGTTTGACGCATTTGTGTGCGCATGAATGGAAGTCTATGGGAGAAAAAGCCCAGTGTGACCGCAGCTTTAAACTTTGCAGGACACTGACCCTCCAGGACTAAGTCTGGGCACCCCTGCTATAAGACCACAGCTCATATCCTAAATTAGGGGTCACCAAACTTGATCGGTGTCCTGCAGTTTAGCTCCCACTTACCTCAACACACTTACCTGGAAGTTTCAAGTATATATCTAGTAAGATCTTTATAAGATTTGTTAAGTTGTGTTTGATAAGGGGTGAAGCTAAACTCTGCTACATTTTGGCCCTCCAGGACAGAGGACTCCTGTCTTAAGCCTATCAAGGCCTTCAGACTCAATTGTAGGCAAGTTTGTAAGTTAAAAGAGCAAAAATGTGGCCCTTCGGGAGTAGAATTTGACAGAGTATTTGCTGTGTTTTAAAGTCAACTTAAGAGAGGTAGGCAACTCCAGTTCTGGAGACACTATCCCACTATGCTTCAGAGTTTAGCTCCATATCTAATTAAACACACCTGCCTAAAAAGGGCGCAGCAATGCTACAGACAACAGGTTTGTCCGAATTTGCATACTTCCCCTTCTATATAGTGTGTGCAAAACAGTATGTGAGCCAAGTAGTATGTCTGAATTCATAGTATTAAAAAAACTGGAGATGAAAATATCTAGAAGACTCACTACGTATGGTAGGGTTCTGAAATACTCTTCTAGTGGACATTTTACTATCCCATGCAGCTGATGCACATATGTTGTGTGGTAATGACAACAAGCTTGATGTCTTACATTAGAATAAGAGATTACTGTAAAACAAAATCCAATCATTGTCCCTAATGCACTGAAAACGTCAATAAGTTTGAGTAATAAATGAAATTAAATATATCTGATCCAATGTATGCCACAAGCTACTGAAAATAGGCAACCACCCCCCCCCAACACACTGATCTATATAACTAGGAAGTATCTGGTTTTAGATGCATCAATAGATTAGTTGATTGAGTGCATTTGATTTCTGTTAAAGCTAAATATGCAGGCATTGGTCACCCTCCATGTTCTTTAACTTGCAAGTTAATTTTATGTCTTACTTGCACGTTGCAACCATTTTGCTAACCACGTTTCTCTACAGACTTCAAGTCACACATGCATGACGGGAAAGGGTTGTTTTTTTCGTAAAGTGACAAGAACAAGATATTTACAAAACATTAGCATGAAAGGGTTTGCTGTTTGTGAGTAACTCAAGCATGCAGCATTTCCTCTCGTTTCATTTAAAACAGACTCCCAAAGGATTCAAAGCTTTAACGTACAGCCAGTTCTCAACATGAAAGACGCCTACATTGTTGGCTCCAGTCCCTGTAAGTGATCTTATCCTGTACTATCAGCCAAAACTACGCAATTACGACCCAAACGCTTTCATCTTCAAGGGCATCACTTTCAGAGATAATCTACTTAAGATAAGATGCATACCTGACAGAGAAACCCTTCTCGTTGTTTTCCAGAGCTGTCGAAGCATGGGGGTTTTCAGCAGCAGAGTCTTCCTCGATTGGGTTATGAAGCGGGGATCCTGGTGGGGCACTCCAAGGGTTCCCTAACCGAATACAAGGGGACTGTGGCAGGGACTGCATGGATCGCATGAGCGCACTGGACACTTGGTTGCTGAAGGACAAGATGATCCCCAGGCTCTCCCCTTCCAAGCCGCTTGAGATGGGGCCATCTGAAGAGGGACTGAGGGGTAAACTCCTGGTCCTCAAGCTCACAGCATGAGTCCCAGCATCTTCTGCTTTTTCTCCAGGGGCTTCTTTTGAGCTGCTTGATCTTCTTGGGACGTGGGTTACAGAGGGCAAATCCTTTTCAGAAGAAACTGGTTCTTGCTTAGTCTCCGCAGAAGTAACTGGTTCAGTCTCCACAGAAGACTTTGTAGAAGAAACCGGTTCTTGTTCAGTCTCCGAAGAAGAAACTGGTTTATGCTCAGTATCTACAGAAGACTTTGCAGAAGAAACGAGTTCTTGCTCTGTCTCCACAGCGGTTGTAATCTCTTCAGTAGGGTCAACAGTAGGTTCCTCAACAGGGATTGACTTACAGGTCTCTGAATCATGAGAGGTTGACTGTTTTTCTACCCCAGGATGGGACTCTAAAATGAGGGAAGTTGAGTGCTCTTCTGAAAGCAGGGTGGTTGCTGAAATTGGTGGTGTAGATTGGCAGTAATCATTATTGCGCAAGTTGCTTGTGTTAACTCTGGTTCTGTCTGCATTGCTGTAGTCTGCAGACGAGGTTTTAGTCGTCTTCTCTGTTGGAGGAACAGATGCAGTTGGAGCCATTCGCCAGCTTGGCCTTTCAGATCCATCAGGACTTGAGAAAGTCTCAAACGAGCTGATCTTCTGCCTGATTGACAAATTGCCTCCCGATGAAGCAGCTCTCGAACTAATCCCAAAGGTCCTGCCAGTTTCGTGGCTCCTGTTATCCTGTTGATTCCTAAAAGCCTCTGTTATCGGTTTCCCAGACTTAATGCTCTTCATACTTTGACGTGCTCGTGCAGACTTTGGAGCCACTGGGGGCCCTTTTTTAACACTGGTAGCTTGCTCAGATTTGGACTCTGTGGTTTCAGAGGCTGTACCATTAACTTCGCTATCTCCATTATGGTCACTCATGGTTTTAGAGCAATATGACTGATTCTCAGGGCTGTCCGTCAGCTTTACCCAGGGGTCAAGTGGTTGATCTGTACTGACCTCCAAATGAGCTTGACGTCTCAGACCGACCCGCTTACTCGAACCACACACCTGAGATGAACACTCCGGATCTGTAACACAATAGAGTTTACATGCATTTCCCTTTTATGAAATTCTGAAAAGAGAAGTGAAAATTGAGAACTAACTCACATGCTGCCTTACACACAATATTTGCTTCAATAATTGCTCTAGTTTCATTCGGAAACAATAGAATTACAAAATTAGTTTGAAAAAGGAAACTAAGTGCTGCTTTTCTTTTATTAAATAGACAGTATAATAAAGAAATTATTTATTTTCGATTGTGTGGTTTTAAACCTTTGAGGTTTTTTGTTTCTGTTTAATGCAAAAGAAGATATTTCAAAGCAACGCTGCACTGGTAAACCTAAAAAGTTAAGGTGACTCAAACCATTTCAGGAAACCGATTGCAACAAACCATTTAAGTTCAAAAACGAATCCTAATGAGTACTGTGAACTTACTCCATTTGAGTAAACAAAGCAATTTGAGCACAGTAAAACCCAATAAATTTAGAGAACCAACTGAGTACTGTGAAGCCCAATAAGTTAAGGCAACTTAAACTGTTTGAGGAAACCGATTGCTACAAACCATTTGAGTTAAAATAAAATAAAAAAAACAATCTATATGAGTACGGTGAACATACTCCAGTTAAGTTGAAGTAATGACCCAGGTAACAAAGAATTCTGGCCAAGATTTGGCATGAAGCTGGCACAGCAGGCATTCATCCGGCACTGGCATACAACATGTGGGCCAAACAAGGCCCGGGTTTTACAGAAGTGGCACATAAGACTTGGGCCAGATGTCAAATGTAGTAACTGGCCCAGACATTAAAAATTGATTTGTGGGCTACGTAAGTTTGGCCTGTCTCGACCCACTTTTAAAATACATTTACATTTTTTTTGAGTGAAGAAAAAAATATACCAATCGGGTCGCTACTAGAAAAAGTGTGACCATAAAGCGAAATGCTTCATGGGTTTATCAAATTCCTTGCAGTCGTGACACAGCAACTATTCTGGCCCAGTTATGGGTTATTAACTTGGCTAAGACTTGGCCCAGATATGGTCCATGTTTGCCATTGTATGGAAGCCAGACTTGGTCCAATCATGTACCGTAATTCACTGTGGAATGTGGGCCAAGCAAAAGCTGATTGTGTGGGCCAGATCTAATTAACTCATTACCTTCAAAGCTGAGTTTAAAACTCTTTTCAAATGAGTAGAGTTAACTTTCAGTAAGTTTTGAGTTAACTACACTCATTTCATTTGGTAAAGTTGACTGTTTGGTTTTAGTGTGGTTACTGGGGCCTGTCGACTTCCATGGTAGGAAAAGAAATTAAGATGAAAGTCAATGGGTACCAGCTACTCACATTTTTCAAACATCTTCTTTTGTGTTCAACAAAAGAATGAAACTCACATTGGTTTTAAACAAATGACAGATGATTAAATTTCCATTTTCGGGTGATCTATCCATTTTAATCCTTACTGTCAGCATACTGCACTTTCTTATCAGCTAAATCAGGAAATGAGAACCCTCAACCTATATGTTTCTTGAACTTTTTCAGAATAATACACAGTAAACATCTAAATATAAGTTATGCAATCTACATGACACGCATTTCTCATTTCATCATTTGCATTTATACCCAGCAGTAGGTGTATTTCTGGATAACCTACCTTTATGCAGTCTGTCCCCTCTGTGTGTTGAGTCACTTTTAGGCTCAGAGATGCAGGCAGATGCTTTAGTTCCGAGTTCTGCGTGCTCAACCACTTCCTGTCACAAAAACAGGAAATCGTTGACTTGAGTTTGAGACTTACAAAGAACTAGAAACAAGAAAAAGGTGTAGAAAATTATCGTTTCATCATGCATCACTGTTGCAAACATACACAAGAGCCATGCCCCATGCCAAACACTCTGAATCACACATATCACAAAAAAGATGCACTACTCTGCAAATAAACCTTCAGTATGAAGTGCACACATAGTAATATGAAAAGAATACATGACATAAACACACCCACAAAGAGTTACTACGTACATTCTTAAACAGAAGCCTTGAGATCTTTCTCAAAGCCCTGTAAAGACTGCAGAAAAACTAGATGCATGTGGAGAGACAATAAAAAAACAAAGCTGTGTGAGACAAAACAAGTTTGACTTATTTAATATTATGATACTTTAACAGGCCTGTAGCCAGCCTGGTGAAAAGGGGGGCTTTTTATCTTAAAAAGTGGACATTTTTGTCATTATTTTACCTATTTTCTATTTAATTATGACATTTTAAGCACCATTTTTAGCTGGATTAGATTGTCAGATGGTCATCAAAACTACACATTTTGATGTACCAAAAATATTTGCTAAAGAATAATAAATAAAACTAGAATTATACATTTCCTAAAGAAAATGTGAGTGGGGTTTGCGTGGCAATTCGATGGGGTACAATGCATTTTTATTGTTTGCTAGGGTGTTCTAAGGGGTTGCGAGGTGGTTGCTAGGGTATTCTGAGTGGTTGCTAAGGCGTTGCTAGGCAGTTGCTAGGGTGTCCTTAGTGGCTGCCAGGTGGTTGCTAAGGTTTTGCTGAGTGGTTGCTAAGGTGTTGCTAGGTGGTTGCCAGGGTGTTTCTGAGTGGTTGCTAAGGTGTTGCCAGGTGGTTGCTAGGGTGTTCTGAGTGGTTGCTAGGTGGTTGCCTGTTGCTAGGGTGTCCTAAGTGGTTGCTAGGTGGTTGCTAAGGTGCTGCTAGGTGGTTGCTAGGGTATTCTGAGTGGTTGCTAAGGCACTGCTAAGATGTTGCTGTGATGTCCTGAGTGGCCGCTAGGCAGTAACTAAAGCATTACTAGTCCATTTCTAGGTGGTTGCTAGAAGGTTGCTTGGGTAATTTAGATGGTTGCTAGGCAGTTGCTAGGGTACCCTGGGTTGTTACTAGGCAAGCCTTAGATTCATGCTTGATCAATTGCTTATACTTAATTAGCATTTCTAGCAGGTTACAGCACTTAGCTAGTCAATATTAGCATGTAGCTAGTCACTGCAAGCATGTGTAGCATATAGGAAGTTCGGTTTGCTAGCATGAGTCAAACGAGCCAATCCCCTAGTCTCTACGATGTTCTAATACAGAGATATAGCTGTTGATGAATGGTTACTAGGGTACTCTGTTTTGTTGCTATGGATGTGGTTACAGAGTGAAGTTGAGTGTGGTTGGTTGCTATGACACTGCTATGTAAAGATATGCATCTAGGCCTTTTTTTATAGATGTCTATGGAATCAATTTGGTGGCGTGGTCTGTGAGCTTCATTATCATATTGAGATGCCAAAGCTGAAGTCACCCCGAAGCAACAGCCAACACAGGTTTCCACTTGGTCTTAAAGCCTATTTTAGATTTCACTAATTATAATAACATAGCAATCAAAATAGGACAAATGAGCTCATGTATGGGACCAATTTTGGACCTTTGTCAATAAGGGGTGGGTCTTTCAAACCACCTGAACCTCCCCTGGCTACAGGCCTGTATAAAATAGATCTATTTACTGTAGGTTAGATGCTATACATTATCATAAAGAAACAGATATTTGTACAAAGGATATTTTTGTGCGTTTGGATACACTATGCATAGTATTTCATAAATATATGTCAATGACCCCATGGTGTGACATATATTCAGTGGAGTCTGACTCATTAGCTCTATACAATTCCCATTTAGAAATATATAAAGCTACACGGTTGCAATAACTGATAGCGAAACGTATATTTGACACATTTCTGTTTTTCACAGATCACAAAGAGACGTTGCTCAGGAAACTGCTTAACTTAAAACACAGTTTGCATGAAATAATAATGTTTCTAATAGATTATATGATCTTTACACATTCTTACATTAAATAAAATGCTTTGTTAATAATATTATTTGTATTCCCCATCCAATCAGATGCAATAAAACAAAAGTCCACTGAAAAAAATTTAAAAAGCAAGAAATAAATGGCCGTCATCCCTTCCTCTGACATTACAGCAGCTCTAAGTGCACACTGATGGTGCAAGATGCTGCAAAACTTGTGAAGAACGCAGTAAAGGGGTTGCACAAAAGCCAATCGCATCTCGACTTACGCAACTACCATTTATGGCCAATGCAAACATTTCCGAGTGAACACTGCCTACTTGTGAATCTCTTTAACAGAGCAAAAACAGCAGCAGTATGTTATACAATAAAATTTGTAGAATTTCATTCCTATGTATAGCACAAAACCTTGCTGATATGATGATACTATATGAAAAAAGTGTGTGTATTTAGTCAGAATTATTAGCCCTCCTGAATTATTAGCCCCCTATATATTTTTCACAATTTCTGTGTAATGCAAAGAAGTCTTTCTCAACACATTTCTAAACATCATAGTTTTAATAACACATTTCCAATAACTGATTTATTTTATCTTTGCCATGATGACAGTACACTGCCTGACAAAATTCTTGTTGCCTATCCAAGTTTTAGGAACAACAAATAATAACTTGATTTCTACTTGATCATGTGGTATCAGAAGTGGCTTATATGAAAGACAAAGGCCTCTAGATTACGCTTATTTCACCAAAATACAATATAATCGTGCCTTGATTTTTTATGATTTAATTAGGACAGTAAGCTCTGATTTTGCTTAGACAAAAGTCTTGTTACTGAACAGAAATAATGTCCAGTATAGAATATAAAGTCATGCTGCAGTGGAAACAGAATGAATTGTGACTGACTTCATCATGAGCTTGGAGGACTGCATCCATACATCTCTGCAATGACTCAAATCACTTATTAATAAAGTGATCAGGAATGGCAAAGAAAGCTTTCTTGCAGGACTCCCAGAGTTCAAGACTCTTTGAATTCATCTTCAATCCCTCCTCCTTCATCTTACCCCAGACATGCTCAATAATGTTCATGTCTGGTGACTGGGCTGGCCAATATTGTAGCACCTTGACCTTCTTTGCTTTCAGGAACTTTAATGTGGAGGCTGAAGAATAAGGAGCGCTATCCTGCTGAAGATTCTCCTGTGGTTTGTAATGTAATGGGCAGCACAAATGTCTTGATACCTCAGGCTGTTGATGTTGCCATCTGCTCTGCAGATCTCTCACATACTAAATGTAACCCCAAACCATAATTTTTCCTTCACCAAACTTGACTGATTTCTGTGAGAATCTTGGGTTCCAGTATGTCGTCTGTATTTGTGATGAAGATGCAGTTCAACAGATGATTCATTGGAAAAATCAACCTTCTGCACCATTTCCAAATGATCAACTTAGAAGTCAAGTTATTTTTTTTTTTGCTCTTACAACTGGGATCGACGATCGTCTAGACATTGGTGAGTACACTAACCTAGACAACCTGTTGTACATTTAGTTTATTACATTTGTTACAGTTCTTTAAACTAGGCTTGGCTTGTTTTGACACATTATTTAAAATATGTGGCGGAGAAATAATGGTAACACTTTATTTCGAATGTCCATTTGAGCATCAGTAGACTGTCTGGTTAATATATTGATACTGCTCCTTCAATAGAAATTTAACTGACTATAAGAGACTTTGCAAGTACTTTCATTAACCCTAACTCCAACCTAACAGTCTACTTATAATCTAACGAGAATTAGTTGACATGTAGATGCAACGTTACTTATATTCAACAAACAGACATCAAAATAAAGTGTGACCGAAATAATTATTTAGATTTTTTTTAATGGGGCAAGTAAAAATCTTGTCCCAACAGGACTATTAGCTCTGTATTAGGCTGAAAGTTGGTCATAAAAATGTCTTTAAAGGTCTTTTAATTTACAGAAAATCTGATTGTGATTACAAAATCAGCAACAACATAGAAATGAACATCTTATTCCATCGTTTCATACAAATAAATTTTGTTAATGGGCCAAGTGAAACTCTTTTCCCGACTGGGCCATTAGAAAAAAACCTTAGCGTTTAGCTTTGTGCAAGTCTGAAATTTCATCAGTAATGGTCTTAAAATGTCTTTAAGAGTCTCTAATTTGACTTTAAATCAGCAGAAACCTTAAATGTATCAAAACAGCAACAACAAAAAAGACATAAACTTCATAATTGATCATTTCATAGAGTAAATATGGCCATACCTGGCAATTGCTTTGTGAGAGCATCAAATCTTCCTCCTTAACTGGTGAATCTCGACTAGAGCCGCTCGAAACATTCAGTGCTTCCTGACTGCTGACTTCCTGTTGCTGTCTACAGTATTTTCGGGGCTGGTTTACTAGTCCTGAACTTGCGTTCACATCAAATGTCTGCTTTCCATTGAAGTTCACTGGACATTTGTAGGGAATGTTATAGTCGTCATCGGTGAAGGAGGATTGAGACAGTGTGTTGTTGAGTGAGGTCTCACTGTTGGTTGTTAGAGAGACGTGGTCCGTGTGTAGGAAGGATTGAGCGGTGGTGCTGTTTGGGATGCAGCAGCGTTGGCTGTAAGCGCCTTCGCTGCAGGAGCGGATCATGGGTTTCTGTGTGCGTCTGCAGGTCAGCTGACTGGTGCTCCGGTCCACGCAGCGCATGCACTTCTGCCTGCTGTGGCAACAGGACTCGGGTCTCCTCAGACCTAAGATCAGACACTTCAGTCACTTCATGCATGAGCTTTTTTTCACAGTAGTCAGCATGGATGTGTTAGTACTGTTCAAATTGACTAGCCTTTCAATATGTTGGTGGCTGTTTTTGCTCCATTGACTTTAATTATAATCACATTTATTGATTGCAAAGCCATGACAGCTTATAATCATACATTCTTGATTATTGGTGGTTTTGGAAGAGGTCAGATATGTAAAATATCTATATGTATTTATATTTATTCATTCATTTTCATCCGCTTTTTCAGGGGCCGGGTCGCGGGGGCAGCAGTCTTAGTTGAGAACCACAGACTTTCCTCTCCCGAGGTATTTCAAGGCTAGCTGAGAGACATAGTCCCTCCAGCGTGTTCTGGGTTCCCCCCAAGGCCTTCTCGTGGTGGGACATGCCAGGAACACCTCTCTAGGTAGGCGTCCAGGAGGCATCCGAAACAGATGCCCGAGCCACCTCAGCTGACTTCTCTCGATGTGGAGGAGCAGCGGCTCTACTCATAGGTGACAGAGCTCCTCACCCTATCTATAAGGGTGCGCCCTGCCACCCTGCAAAGGAAACTCATTTCGGCCACTTGTATCTGAGATCTTGTCCTTTCAGTCATGACCATAGGTGAGAGTAGGAACGTAGTTCGGGCGGTAAATCAAGAGCTTTGCTTTCTTTACCACAACAGACAGGTACATTGACCGCATTACTGCTGCACCAATCCGCCTGTCTCAAGCTCTATTCTTCTCTCACTCATGAAAAAAAAAACCAAGATACCTGAACTCCTCCACCTGGGGTAGGGACTGTCCTCCAACCTGGAGATGGTAATGACTAATATATATATATATATATATATATATATATATATATATATATATATATATATATATATATATATATATATATATATATATATATATATATATATATATATATATATATATATATATATATATATATATATATATATATATATATATATATATATATATATATATATATATATATATATATATATATATATATATATATATATATATATATATATATATATATATATATATATATATATATATATATATATATATATATATATATATATATATATATATATATATATATATATATATATATATATATATATATATATATATATATATATATATATATATATATATATATATATATATATATATATATATATATATATATATATATATATATATATATATATATATATATATATATATATATATATATATATATATATATATATATATATATATATATATATATATATATATATATATATATATATATATATATATATATATATATATATATATATATATATAT